AGCCAATCAGTGGCAGTAATGACAGAGCATGCGCTGTTACGCAAAAACCGCGATAGAGTGAAGCCGCGGAAGTCGAAGCGCGAAGTGGCGAGGGTTCGCTGTATAGTCATTACAAATTTAACCCCCTGAATATGTTCGGGTTTTAAGGAAACGGACCTTCACAGCGCTGCATGACCGCATGTGGTCTTCAGTTGAAGGTTGCAGTTTATGTATTTCAGATGAGAAGAGATTACAGCCATGATCAGTAGGTGATGAGATCAGCTCTGGTCAGTTACATCACACCCTGAATGCCACTGTTACACTGTTTTGAAGACTGACATCCCACCCACCCCCAGAATTTCTAATTTAGCTTTTATATTTCAAATATAGGGCACAGAGGACTGGGTTATGGTAGACAAAGTTCCCGCAGAGATAGTTGATGGTGATTCGAAACAGATTGTGACTTACAAGGTGGTGACTGTGAGCAGTAAGACCGGGGACATCCCAGCCGACATGTTCAAATCTAGCGCCTTGGAAATGCACAGTTTCGATGACCTGGCTCGAGAAATGCAGTTGAGAGAAGAAAGCAAGCAGAAGGCATACACTTTAGGAAAATCCTATGACACTGTGTCTGGGAAAATCGTTACCATGACTGGAAAAGCTAAAGAGGGGGAGAAAGGAGTGCCCACCTCCACCCTGGAAACGCTTCAGAAACTGGAGAGAGGGGCTTCTGAGCCCGTGAGGGTCACCCCTGTCAAGACAGACTTCGAGGTCCTGGAAGCCATCCTGGATGAGAAGGCCAAGAAGGTGCCTGAGGTCCAAACGCCCAAAAGGAGATTATCGGAGTCTCTGACCCCCATAAAGGAAGCGGAGTCACGGCTGCAGAGTCCCGAAGAGGAGGAGCTCAAGCAAGCTCAAAGACTGGGCAAGGACGTGGGCCTCTACAGCGGCCTGGAGAGCATGCGCTTCAGCAAAACAGAGCAAACCCCTGAGAGCGAGGCCTTGCAAGTGGGACTCTTTGGTCCCAGGAAAAAGAGCCTGTCGGAGTGGAGATACTCCCAGGAGCCCGCCATGACCGTGGCTACTGCCCATTACGTTACTGAGTCGTCATCGTCCTCCCGCGTGGTGGTAACCAGTGGCTTCCCTTTGGGCCACCGTTTCAGATTCGAGCATGACTTTTTGAGGCAGTGCCCTTCAACCCTCAGCCTTTCCGTTTCTCTTGTTGCTTGGCTTTATGTTGAGAGCAGCCAACCCAGCTTTTTAAATTTTTTTCATGGTTTAAATCAGTACTGCAGTCCGGCATAGGCCTTACAACACTTTGTTTTATTTCCAGCACCCTGTTCCCAAGATGTAGTAGCGCTGCGTGGCTTGCAATGAAGGGGAAAATGACCTGCTTACTCCAGCATCTCTCCAATCGCAATAACTCTCTTTGCTTTTCCTAAAAAAGAGCTTCCGGTCACTTCAGTTTGCTATTTTATTTCCCATTATTTTCTGTTTACAAACACAGTACCTTAAATTCCTTCATTCCTCTGCCCTATTTCCTCTGCCTACAGTTTGGTCTAACTGTCTGTGAGTGTGTTTGTGTCTGTCCCTTGTACTTGACGCTGCATTTCTTGGTTCTCTCAGACGAAACAGTCCTCTGGCGACAAAGTCATGGCAGGCTCTGAGATCTTCAGTTTATTGGAGTCTGCAAGAAAGCCAACCGAGTTCATTGGAGGGGTGACTTCTTCTACTCAAAACTGGGTGCAGGTGGCCAATTCATTCATTCTTTCTGTTTTTGACCACCCGTCTGCATTTCATTATGCTTTTTAGGGGTGGGTGGGTGGGTGGGTGTGTGCACGGGCGTTTATGTAAGCAAGCAAGCAAGCCTGGGTTTTGCATCCAATTGGCTGTGTCTTCCGTACCTCAAAAGTGCCCCCACTTACTTTCCTTTCTGCTGCCTTGGAAGATCTGTCATTGCCTTTCATTCCATTTCAACATGTACCACCAGTATTCAAAAGATGATCTTGTTAAAGCTTTGAACGGCATTTCATTCCAAAAGCCTTTTCTCTAGGTTGCGTCTAAGAAACCAGCCAAAGCCATTGCAAGTGTGTTAGAATGCTTTCACTTGATTTGGGGTTTTGGTTTTTCATTTGTTTTTTTAATTCCATTTTAAATGGCTTTTTAATTTCATTAGTTGACATGCTCAAGTCGCAGGATAGATTCACGTATCACTGGAGCAGCAGATAGGCATCAAAAATTCTCGTGGGAAGAATGAAACATCACTTCCGTTTTCCCTGGGCCTTTCTGGCTGTACACCCTTGACACTGGCGTTGGTCATGTGGGTGAATGGGTTCTTTGGTTGTGTTTTAATCTACGTAGAATCACAGTGTGAATACCGTCTTTTTTCCATGCAGAAAATAGAAACGACGACAGTCTCCAGTGAAACAGAGCCCGACCCCGCCCAGAACCAGCGGCCCCTCAGCACCGAGAAGGTTGTGCAGGAGACGGTGTTGGTGGAGGAAAGGCACGTGATGAACGTGCACGCCAGCGGGGACGCTGCTTACGCGGCTGGAGACGACGGGGAGGTGGCAGTACAGGCAGCAGCTGAGGCGTCCAGCCTTAAAGAGAAGGAGGGCTCTGCTCTCCTGGTGGAGGCTAAAGAGGAGAACCAGGAGATGGCGAGTGGAGCCCCCAGGGAACAGGAAGAAGTAGCCGCTGCAGCCCAGGAGCTCAAGGGGGAGCAGAGTGCAGCCAGCCACATTCTGGAGACTTCGGAGCGAAAACCTCATTTTGAGGTAATTGGCGGTTGAGAATCCTTAGAACACGAAAGTAAAACTGAATTAAGTTAAATGCCAGGCAGTGTTAAGGGTGATTTTTTTATTCCTTCTCAAGTGCAGTTTGTTTCTCCTCTTACGGTCTTCTTGCATGGCACTCACTGATCACAATGTCAAGTCCTAACAGCTGACGCACACCTTCATTGTGATCACTGTGACTGGCGATGAACCTGAGGCAAGCATGGCCGGCCCCAGCCTTCCTAAATAGGATGCAAGTGCCTCCGATCAGTGTGTGGATCCAGAAGGACCAGAAACCGTGTTTCAAAGGGAGCCACGTGCTAGCTAGGGTTGTGCAGATTCGCAGCCCTCTTCTATCGGGATCCTTATGTTATCCTGAGGGCTAATGGCCATGGCTTTCTGAGAAGTTTCTGTAAAAAAACATGGTTTTCAATCGGTCAAGTTCATTCGTCCATGAGCTAGTGAAGCCTAGGCATGCCAATGTATTTCCTTCAAAGTGCTTTCCATGACCTGAAATAGTCTATATTTTACAAATTGTGTGAAATTTGGGGAGCCTGTTTGATGTATATCTGTGTATGCCTCATTCATCAACTCACACCGTCACCCCCACCCATGTAACATGTAACCATGAGCGTCATACCAAGGGGGAGCAGGCGGCATACTGTCTATTTGTATAACCTACAATAACAACTCTGCTCACTTTCCATTGGCCCAGTCGTCAACCGTGAAAACAGAAACCATCAGTTTTGGCAGTGTTTCCCCAGGAGGTGTAAAGCTAGAAATTTCTACCAAGGAAGTGCCGGTAGTTCATACAGAAACAAAAACCATAACATATGAATCATCACAGGTAAGACAGTCTGTGATTTGTGTGGCTCTAGTATGTGTGTGTGTCTGATACTGAATGCGTGGGACTGAGAAGACCCAGGAGCCAGACTCTCTGTCAAGACCAGTGCAATAGCTGAATAGCCAAGGATGTCACCAGGTCATGAAATGTGGAAAAATGTTGCTAAACCAATTTTCATAGACATAGAGGAAGAAGCTTACTAATTCAGCCATGCATTACGCACAGCTCTAAAGCCTTGGTTTTGATGGGAGCTAACTGTGGCAGTGAACTACCACCTAAACCTGTCAGGGACCTTGGTGGCTCTGTGGCATGAGCTTTAGACTGCTAATCCCAAGGTCGGCCGATCAAACCCACCAGCCACTTTGAGGAATAAGGATGAGGCTGTCTGCTCCTATAACAAATACAGCCTCCGAAACCATCTACATGATGATAATGGGTTTGGTTTAAAGTTAATTGAATATATACAGCCCCAAAGTGCTGCTTGAAAAACCCACTGAGATCATTCAATAGCCAGGTTGCTTTAAATGACAGAACAATAGTGGTTCAGTGGTAGAATTTTCACCTTTCCTGTTGGAATGCCAGGCTCCCTTTCCAGTCAGTGCACCTCATACTCATTCACCACCCATCTGTGAATGGAGGCTACGTGCTGTCCTCAGGCTTAACAGGTTTCCGTGGAGCATCCAGACTAAGATCGATCAGGAAGAAAGACACCCACCAATCAGCCAAGCAGCACTTCCTGGATCACAGTGGTCGGATTCCGGGAGCATTTAGTTCTGTTGTGCATGGGCCACTATGCATGGGGACACACAGAGTAGCTAGCTGGACTAGAGCCTTCAATAAACATGGGCAAACTTGCGGGACCCTGCGCGGTGACCTGGGTGTGCTGTCTCGCCTGTGGCTGCCGTAGGTGGATCCGGGTGCCGATCTGGAGCCAGGTGTGCTGATGAGTGCGCAGACAATCACCTCAGAAACCACCAGCACCACCACCACCACCCACATCACCAAAGTAAGTGACCGTGACCAGGGACTCAGCCACGCGGCCCGGGAGAGTGGAGCGAAGAGCTGCTAAGAGGCCAGACCTCACAAGCAGGCCGCCCCTTGACTGCCCCGATGTCAGGGTCCATACAGGGGGGACTGTGACAGCCGCTATTCAGAGATTTTGGATGCCCTTGGCCTTCTGTGCTGCTTTCTCCTGAGGACTAGGTATGCTGCTATCCTTTGCTTAGTACTTGCTCCAGCGTGTGACATCCAGTAGTCGGCTCTGAAATGCAGGACCCAAACAAGCGTTCTACTGCCCTTCACTTGTGAGACAGCACTTTTCCACAAGTGCCCTGGGCTTTGGGGAGATCGTGTGAGCGTTTGCTGCCACTGCCCTCCCCGCATTGAACAGTGGCTGCTCACGATTCTGCAGTCTTGCTTTGTCGAGTGACGAAGCCTGTGTGTTCCTTTCAGACTGCCAAAGGAGGCATTTCGGAGACACGGATCGAGAAGCGGATAGTCATCACTGGGGATGCAGACATTGACCATGACCAGGTAGTGTGTGTGAGATAGTAAAGCCCGTGCAGAGGCGAGCTTGTTAGACCTCCTACTCTCAGTACTGTCCTTCCAGTCCAGCATGTATTCTAAGAAACTTTTGATTAACTTTCCAGTATATGATGTATGATTCGTATTGTAATCATTGTCCCTCACTTGTAAATTGTGGATATAGATCTAGCTCATATGTCTCCACCTTGCTACTGATCATGCATGTTCCACCTCCTTTTTTGTTTTTGCCCTTCTGTGATTTTCTGGGGATAGGCGCTGGCTCAGGCAATTAAAGAGGCCAAAGAGCAGCACCCTGACATGTCAGTGACCAAAGTAGTGGTCCATAAAGAGATCGAGATCACACCCGAAGATGGAGAGGATTGACCGCAGGTAAGAGGGGGCACTGCTTGCTAGCACTGGCCGAGCCTGGCATGGGGCATGGTAAGGTGACCAGATTTTAACATTTTTAAAGCGGGACAAAAGTGGGACACCATTGATAAAACTCATATCCTGGCAAAATAGCCACATGGCAGCCGAAAACCATATACCCTAGCTTGTCGTGCATTCTTTCCAAAAATTGGGACTTTTTTAAAACGCTGTGGGACATGGGAAAAATTGTTAAAAATTGGGACTGTCCTACCAAAAGCAGGACGTCTGGTCACCTTAGGCATGGGGCCTCCTCTCCCCTCCCTCACCTGTCAGCCCCACCTTTTCCTTTTCCGCTCACTGGCACTTACTGGCAGAGCTGGTTGTGACACGGAGAGAGGATTGGGTCACAGGTCCTGGGTGGGGGGGGGGGGGGGGGGGTTTCGATTGTGTTTCCAATTTAGGGATCCCAAACCCATGAACAAAGAACCCTGAAGGTACAGTGGTTGCGTATCGGGCTGCTGACCACAAGGCCATCACCTTAAACCCACTCCTTGGGGAGGAAAGATGAGCCTTTCTACTCCAGTAAAGATTTGCATCCTCAGAACCTCCACACTGGGGCACAGTGAGTCGGAATTGAGCTAACAGCAACGAGCTTGCACTCTTGGGACATTTTGCAAACACTGCCAGTTAGAGAATAAAGAAAAGACTGCACACTTCTGTTATCCAAACTGGGAGTGTTGAATCTGACCCTTGCTCCCCAGGCGGCCCAGCCAGAACGCTGCGCTTCTGGCTGTCGGGTTCCGTAGGTGCCAGTGACCTGGGAAATAAGAAAGCAAACTCCCTGCTCCTGGTAGTAGCAGCATCACCCCACTCGGTGCTCGCTCTGCAATGTGGTGACGGCTTGTTTACGCTCTGCTGGGTTTTGTTCCTTTTCAATGTGAAGGCTTAGCAGTGACACCCTCTCTCCTGGGATGCCCTATATGCATTGGGGTTGTCCTTCACCCTCCACTCCCACCCCCCAGTATAGCATTGTGTCTCAGGAGGAGGCAGAAACGCACTTGTGTGGCCCTGCTTTCTTCCTGAAAGCGCATGCCTAGCCAGCTGGAGGACATGGGCAGCCCGTGTCCTCTGTGGTGTGGGTGTGGGCGTGGTTGCGCACGCACACAAACTCGCCATGGATACTAACCCTGCTGCTGGAGCGTGTGGGGCTGTGAGCGTTCCTCGAGGGCTGGAGACACTGGAGGCACCAGCTGAGGTCAATGAGCAAAGACTCTTCCTCACTTTAGAGGTTTACACTGAATAAAAAGTAGTTTGCGAACATTGGCCCAAAAATCTTAGATTGATGAGTGGCATCAATCTTGAAAGAAAATGAATACAAAACCAATTGCTATTTTCAAATTATTCATGTATTTTTGGAAGGTGGGAAGAAGAAGAAAACTTTTTTTGAATGAGCTTTAGGCGCTCTGATGCTATTAGAATAATTATTTAAGAAAAAGCCTATCATCAGCAGTGTCATGAACAGGAATGTTACAGTACCGTCTTTAAAGCAGCATTGAATAATCCTGCAAGATGCTTTTGTTGTGGCCTTGATCTGAGAAGAGTTGGGTGTTTTCAAATGAATAATTTGTCACCTCTCCTTTCTACAGGAATAACTTAGCTTCCACGTGAATCCCAACACGCAAACCATTAGGAAAATCAGAGCCTATTGGAGTTCCCTCTTCTAACCCAACTGACTTGTACCTGTTCATGGAAAATTTCTACCCAGAAGAATTGACCTTGACCTTAATAAGACCCTGGCAGAAAGCTCCTCCCATAATCAAGCAATCGGGAAATCAGCACCACTCAACTGATATTGCATGAAGCAACACTACAATTACAAAAGAGCAGCCTTTTGATTTTCACAAAATGTCTAAGTTTTCAGCTGTACTTGCACGCTCATAGCCAACGATATAAACAGTAATCTCATGTCACACATAATCCATGCCTTTCACACTTTATTATTAAAGCCTAAACAAAACTGCAATTCCATAGGTGACGAATATTTTGTTTACAGATAAGTGAAAATTACCCTCAAATGCTACAAGCTGTATAGGTCTGGCATGTCATGTTTATCACAGATTAGATGTGCCAACAACAGTTAATTCAGTAAACAACTTGAACCTTGTACTTGTGTCACCTGGTTTCATTACTCTAGCCCATGAACAGTAGCAACTCTCTGATCCTGCAGAAATATTGAATGCTTAACATCTTGCTTTATGGATCTCATTTGAATCGTTTTACAGTAGTACTGATTTCAGGATATCAATGTGATTTCTTCCCTGGTGTCTGCTTGGGTCTCCATTCAATCCAGAAAGCTTCCCAGAGTCCCCTAACAAGTTCTATATATGTAAATCATACTTTGGGAAAGAAAAACCTGTATTTTTGCTAGTTTACAATATTATGAAATTTTATTCCTGAAAAATCTGATGGGTTTTTGTTGCTTTGTTTTCTTTCTTCGTTTCTCTTTCCTTGTATTTTATATTTTTTAATTAATTTTTTTCCTTTTATGTGGAAAAAAAAAGTTTGTTTCTAAATCTGGTCCATATTTACAATCTAGTTCAGAGCCAAGCCTTAAACTGTACAGAATTTCCACTGTAATTAAACTATTTCGTGTTTCATTATCAATAGCCTTCAGCTAGCCTTCAGCATATATTGTCCATTACACTGTCAGCTGCGGCACAGCCCATGGTGAATGTTCGTGGCTGCATAGCAAAATAAAAATGGCAAACGTGGTTAAAACCCCCGTCTACTCTGTTTAATAATGTCTGTGTTACACATTTTCTGCCTAGAGGTAACATCTCCCTGACAGCCAAAGCCTCGTCCGTCCGCATTGGAGAGAGCCCCGTGTGTTCACAGACTGCTCTGCACCACATGGCCCCTTCACGATCTTGGAGATGGGGGAATGATGCTTTTTCTTTCCTCGCAGCAAAGGCTGTTTCTGAAGTCCACTTGCAGTGTGCATATACGTAATGTGGGGTTATCCGTCCATATGTCAGCTTGTCACACTGGTGGCTTGCATGCGGCTATGATGGTCGAAGCTCCGCCACTGATACTGCAGTTAACAGCAGGATCCCCCATGGGGACAGGTTTCAGCAGAACTTAAAAGCCTGCAACGAACTAAGAGGGAAGCACTGGCAATTTACTTCCCACAATTAGGCAGTGAACACCGTATGGATCACAGGAGGATTTCTAATATAGTGTTTTTTTAAAAAATGAGCTCCTTGGATGGAAGGCAGACCAAATACACTGGCCTCGACCATGGGCTTGAACCTGCTCAACAGTCAGGAAGCTAGTGCAGGACCGGTCAATGTTGAGTCCACTTGACAGCAGTTAAGTGTGCGCGTACACACGTGAATATGTGTCAGTGTGTGCTATGCATGTTTGTAAATATGTTTGCCAACAGAGGTGTTAAAAAATATATAACTAGTGCTGTTAACAGATTGGGGGCTGGGGGTCCCTCATCTGATCCTCTGGCTTCCCTCTTGTCCACAAGGCAGGGGACAGACAAGCCTCCAGGGTCCGTCCGTCCTTAGCTTGTTCTGACACCAGCTGTTCCTCCCACACCATTCTACATCTAGGCTGGGTTATAAGTCACTGCAATGGCCGTACACAGCTCAGACCAGACTCACAATGAAGGGATTTCTTGGAATGAATGGCTCACACCAGTCTGGATCAGTAAGGGTACACTGGTCCATCACAGCACCTCTCTTCAGCCAGTAGCTGAGTCTCTCTGGTCCTCAGCCTCTCAGCCGCATGGTCCCTTGGCTTTTGCCATTATGGACCAAGAAGCCAGGCCACCTGTGGCTCTTATCTCCCAGTCCCAGCCTTGGGCCAGTTGAGGAACAGCTCCCCCGTAGTTTGGGTGCTGCTCCCCTGAGCCTCTGGGCCTTCATCTGGTGCATCTGGTCTTCCAGCTCCGTCCCTTCAGACAGATCTTGGATATGCAATTCCAAGGGTCCTTGGATTTCTGTGTCCTGGCGGCTCTTAAGCACTGAGGGATGAATGGCTTTAGCAGAGGTGTGTTTTGGTCTATTAGCCAAAGCTGCCCCCAAGGAAGATGAAGGATGGTGTCTAAAGTCACACCCTCCACTGAAGAAGCCTTAGATACCAAGGAAACAAAGCTTGGACTTGGCTCACACCCTCTATGACAGTCAGGACTTAACTCAACCTTAATCCTGTAAAGAACTCCCTCCATAATGGGATTATAGCTGCAGGCACAGAGACCAGCAGTATAATACATCCCATGAGCCATGATAGTTTGAAGGGCCAGGTTAACTGACTCCACCTCAACTGGTTACCATAGAATTTGTCTCCAAGTTTGGGAGATTTTTCAAGAAGAGAACGAGCTCAGCAAATCCTAGTGTTTCTGGATGTTAGGAAACGACCAAAGAGCGCACATTCTCTAGCTGAGCCCAGGCTAATGCTGTGCTGGTTGTCGTTTCCGACCGTGTGGTGCTTCTCTTGGTTCCAGGTGGGCTTTGTGGTGGTGGTTTCATTTCTGCCAGAAGGACAGGTAACCTTTAAAAGCACTGTTAGGTTTGCCCACATGTCTTGGTCTTACTGGGAACGTTAAATCTCTGGTTTACCTCCGTGGGAGCCAGCAGCTTGCCCTTGCTGTCAGTGCAACATAATCACTTTAGGAAGTGAAGCCTCCTTTTCACTGTATTAGGGAGCAACCAAACTGCAGAAAAATTAACACTGGATTATGCAAGAGGAATAAGTGGCCTCCCACAGACTGCCGGTAGCAGATTAGTTTGGAGTGTGCCCACCAAACTGTATCCAAAATGTTGAAAACTACACGCTGATGTGTTCACACTTCTCTGTTGTTCTGCTCAAAATGCTTGCCCCGACTCCCTGCTAGGTTGCAAAGCTACTCTTACATAGTTAGGTACCTGTTACAGCAAAATCCTGCTTCTGGTCCCAAACTCGTTTTTTAATTATTGCTGCCTAACAAACTACCATAAATTTAGTGGCATAAAACAGCAGACTCTGAGACTTAAAAACCCAGACATGGTTTTGCTGCATCATCCGTAAGCAGTATCTTAGGCTGGGTTCATAGCATTAGATCCAGTGAAGTTTATTTACGTTTATCGACACACATGCATGAACATTTATCTCAGATAACTAGCTCACATGGTTGTAAAGGTTAGCAAGTCCCAAGTCTGTGGGACAGACAGCAAACTGGAGACTTCTAGCTCACATAGCTCCAGGTACTCAGGAACCCCAGATGGATCAAAGAGCAGGCTGCTGGTTCACCGGTGGCAGGTGGTTGAGGAGTCACAAGATTGGCGGGCAAGACCCGGAAGTCATCGGGTAAACCAGACAGTATCCAAAGTGAGCAAATGTTCAAGACACCTTTAGCGTTAAAAGCAAAGATGTCCCTTTAAGGACTAAGGTGCCTTTAACCCACGGTATGGCATATTCAGTCACCTACACAAGTGCGAGCCGGTCGTAAAGGAAGACAAGAAGAAATACATTTGGATGATAGTGGCGGCAAAGAATATTCGCTGTACCATTCGCTGCCAGAAGGAGCAAATGTGCCCTAAAAGACGTGCAGCCACAATGTTCCTTAGCCAGATGGTGATTTGTAATTTGGATGGGTTATTAAGCATTAATCCGTGGAGGAACCCCTAAGACTCGTCCTTAGTCACCCCTCAGCTCTGGAACAGAAATGCATCCCCATGCTAGAAATGCAACCCCGTGCTAGAAATGGTCAACCATCGAAGATCACACGGCAGCATGTACCCAAGGACAACGTTTAGAATGGTGGGGAAGAAGGAGGAACGGAAACAAGAAGCAGAAGTGGGTGAAGCATGATTCGTTTGATGGGATTGCAATTGATGAGTTGAACCAGAAGGTGGATGAATTGTTGTGGGTAAAACATGATCTCTGTAAAGCCTAATTCACAATTACTAAAAAGTTATTTTTTCCAGGGAGGAGGGACACCATGCTTGGAAAAGTAGAGGGTTAATAAGGGGTACCCTCAATAAGATGGGGCAACACCAAGGCTGCAACAATGGGCCCACATACAGCCCCAATCGTGAGGAGGGCAGAGGAGCAGGCAGTGTTCTGTGCCGCCATACGCAGGGTTGCTATGACTGGGCACTGACTTGACGGCATCCAGCATCCCGTGACACAAGCCAGAAGCCTGCCAAGTGTTCTGTGCCATGTCGTCTCCATCGCTTGTCTAGTCTTTCCATTTTATTTCCTTATTGTCTTAAACTGACCATGAACCTGTATTACACTACTACCCTATCCTAAAATCTAGCTTCCCACACAGCCCAATGCCTCACACTGTAACTTGCAATATTTTAGAAAGCACAAATCTACTTACATCACTTTCAAGCTTAGAATGCTTTTTAGGTGTTCCGTTATTCTTAGGTTAAAGACCCCAACTGTTTGAATGTAGTCCAAATGCTTTGCTCTGCGTGGACTGGTGCCTACCCACCTCCTCCAATAGCCACATAACTGTGCACTCATATCATCATCTTTGTGTTTCCTCAATATACATAAGTTCCTCCCTCTGCTATATAACTGCTTACACGCTGGACCTATCACGAGCCCAGGATCACTCAGTCCCCTAGTTGGCTTTAGATCTGAGCTCAAATGTCCCTGTCCATATTTTACAAATCAAATTTTCTTACAGACTTTCAAAACAGCATCTTATAGAACATGCTGTAGTTGTAATTTCTTTTTTTAATTCTGCCAGGTTCTTACACTAACATCTCTCCTGGTGTCATGGATCTTAGAGATGCTGCCCCAGCTCCAAACAGGTGTTTGACCCACACAGTTGTGCTCATTATTTGTCCCATTAACCATCTGTCAGTTTGTCGTACTGTGGTGGCATGTGTGTAACTGTGATACTGAAAGCTATGCCATTGTTTTCCAATACCATCAGGTTCACCCAGAGTGGGCCAGTTTCAGTGGAGTTGACAAATGGAGACTAGCAGGAAAAGCCAGATGAGCTGCTGAACCTCAGCAGATGAAAATACTATGACACTCATATGATCGCTGAAGACAAATGGGTGCATAAACAAATGTGGGAAGAAAGCTGATGGTGCCCGGCTATCAAAAGGTATAGTGTCTGGGGTCTTAAAGGCTTGAAGGTAAACAAGCAGCCATCTAGCTCAGAAGCAACAAAGCCCACATGGAAGAAGCACACCAGCCTGTGAGATCACGAGGTGTCGAAAGGATCAGGTATAAGGCATCATCAGAACAAAAAATCTTACCATAGTGAATGAGGAGGGGAGTGCGGAGTGGAGACCCAAAGCCCATTAGTAGGCCACTGGAGATCCCCTTGCAGAGGGGACTCAGGGAGGAGACGAGCCAGACAGGGTGCGATGTAGCAACGATGAAAAATTCAACTTTCCTCTAGTTCTTAAATGCTTCCTCCCCACCTCCACCCCCCAACTATCATGATCTGAATTCTACCTTGCAAGTCTGGCTAGACCAGAGGGTGTACACTGGTACAGATAGGAACTGGAAACACAGGGAATCCAGGGCGGATGATCCCTTCAGGACCAGTGGTGTGAGTGGAAATACTGGGAACATAGAGGGAGAGTGGGTAGGAAAGAGGGAACTGATTACAAGGATCTGTATGTGACCTCCCTGCGGGACGGACAGCAGAAAAGTGGGTGAAGGGAGACGTCGGACAGGGTAAGATATGACAAAATAATAATTTATAACATCAAGGGCTCATGAGGGAGGGAAGAGCGGTGAGGGAGGGGGAAAAGTGAGGACCTGA